GCGTTATGTCGTAAATCTGGATTAATATATCTATAAAATCATAGAGAAAATGATGTAATACATCTAAACATGTTCTGATAAATCTTTTAGTTTTAACTTTAAAAAAAAAAAAACATAAACCCTAGTATCTTTGATCTATTGGTAGTTGCTTTTTAATGACTATTCGCTAGACTATCGATGGGGACATACCAGGGGCGGATCCAGCCATTTTTAAAAGGGGGTTCCAACCCAGGAGAGAAGGGGGGGGTTTCAAACAATATGTCCCCATTCAAAAGCATTGATCGTCCAAAAAAGGGCTTTTCATAGACTAACCTAGAGCTAGATAATCCAAAGTCTAATTGAGCTTGTCTTTCAATCAGCCGACCAACCATTCAACAGACCACACTTATGAATGAGCTGACTTCAATGGACTTGCAGTTAATTCACCCTCTGTGTACTGGTCAAACAACTGAAACTGATGTTCAAAGTGCCATAATTATACCCAAATTTTTGTTTTTATATACTTCTCTATTTTTATTTCTTATCTAAACAAACCCATTCTACTTTTGTAGGTCCATTATCCACTAATAATCACAGATTAGTATATTGTACATGTATGATTATATTTATTCAATATGCATATCAAATAAATTGACTTTCAAACAATTTCAATAATGATTTGCATTTAATTAGCTTTAAATAGAAACGATTATGATTGCATCATATTACCAATCAACAGGTTGGGGCAAACCCACCAAATGCCTTAATGGGGAACTATTCCTCAAATTAGTAAACAAATTAATAGATAATGGAACAACTACTTCTTCCAAGTAGTACTTTTAAAAAGTTAAAAGCCTTTGAAAAAAAACAATTCTTCGAAGTTTCCATAGGCTTGTAACTTCTCAGTAAAGCAGGTTATGGCTATTCATCTTTTGAAAAATTTGTTGCATTTTTTATGAATACATGTATATGCCATTTTAAGTTAAAAAGACCTGTTTATAAAAATTTCGTTTTTATTACTATCATATGATATGGGGAGTGGTACACAACCTGAACAAATTTATATTTTATTTTATTTGTATGTTGTTACATGTATATTATCATGATATATGAAAGAAAATAAATCCTGCAAAACACAGTACAGAAAATAATCCTATTTTCATACATTGAACAACTATTACTGACTGGAACAAACTACCGGATAACATTGTAGATTGCACTTCAGTAGACTCTTTCAAATCTTCAATTTCAAAGCATCAATATTAACTCAACTATTACATCATACTTAATTATACAAAGCATTTTCTCATTTTTTTCGTATTTTTTTAAAATTGTATATATATCAATCTATGTCTTGTTGTAAGTTTCTTCCTGTGACATAATCTTCAATTTGTTGAAGGCGGTCACTATGTGGTAGAAAAAAAAAATAACAACTAGGGTAATGTAAATAAATAATAATAAAATATTGAGTAAGAGTTGGTAGAAGTACCAATTTGGTAGACATAGGGTACGTGTTGTGGAAGACCATTATTATGAGAGGAGAAATTGCATTACCACAATCCAAGATGAGGGGTCAGTAGAAGCCTTTGGCTTATTTTAAGGACCCGAAGATAAAGGTATAAAGACCGTAGGAGTTGACATGTATCAAAATTTTTCAAGAAAGAACGAAACTACCAGGATTATTACGATTACAACTTTACAGGTTTCTACAGTTTTATGGTAACATGTACGATTATGGGTTTAAAACTACAACATGAAACTTTAAAGAGAATCTTCATGGATTTTTACCGAAATTTAAGACCATATTTCGTAAAATTTCTGTTATTTTGATAAAAATGGTACAACAAAGCACCATTAAAGCGAAAGTTCCGCAACTGCAATATACGGTATAAAGACATTTAAGAATTTGAATTGTTAAAATAATGTGAGTTATGCCGACCTTCCAGTCATACAGGCCGATTATCGATGTTTTGTCTAAAATGTCTCACTTCTGTAACTTTCTTGAGACGTTCATTTCAACATGGCGGGACAATTACGTCACATCCGGGGCCATATAAGGTCGTGTTGAAACGAGATAATACACAATACAGGGGTTCCAACGGGATATTTTGTACTCCGCCAAAAAGAAAACTGCAATAACTGATTGTTTGTATAATTGTTATATTTGAACATCAAATGAAAATTAAACAGATTGTTTTGGAAAAGCTACACACCTAAGGATTAATAAATATATGTAAAACCAAGGAATTGTATATTTAAATATACAATTCCTTGGTAAAACATATTGTCTTCCGAATCAAGGACCCTTTGACGAGTAAACTTTAGTTTAAACAGTAGTTATTAATGAAAATTTTATACAACAATAAAGTATTACAATGTTACATGAAATTCTAATATGGGATTCGGAAACAAGTTTGGAAAAACTTTTATAAATCCGTCTCCCGATGACGAGTAAACTTTAGGTCTTGCATGTTAAAAAAAATGTGCAACCATTATAACAATCAGAATGATTATTTATGATTAATTATAAATTAGTAAGACAAAGAATGAATAATTAACAAGTATATACACATTTTAAGTTCAGATCCTGCTAAGAGTCATCCTAGGGAGACAAATGTAAATTTCAGTTAAATAAAGTGTTAGAGTTATCTCCCATTCTATATATCTTGAAACTTTCATACCTTCATACACAGACACTTGTCTCAGAAAAAAAATCCTATATACCTTAATATAACATTAAGGTATATAGGAAATTTTTTTCTGAGACAAGTGCCTGTGCCTCCATACAGTAATTTTGGGGACATTTTAGACAGACAATGTTCTTGATATTTTTGGCTAGTGTTGAATTGTGAAAAAAACCGTCATGATGTGACAATCCTTACTTTAACAGCTAAAAGTAAAAACATTGCAAAATACAATAACATAATCGAAGGAATACAGAAGGTATAGAATATTAACATTTAACAGAAAATCGTATTAATCTTTGTAGTGCCGTTTTCAGGTGAGGGATATACGTCAACGAGACAGCAAGTTGTTAACCAATCGACAAAAAATAACCAAATGACATATCATATGGACATATATAGGACAACAAACATTTAACAATATGTTTGATCTCAATTGAAAACTATGTAGCCGCTAACTTTCAGGTTATAAATCTAGTTTTTCTGACACAGCGTTGGCATCGCGTCAGCAGTGACATCACTTTGTATGGAATTTCTCTATGTTGGAATTAGTTTTTTTTAAAGAACTTAGCAATCATTTTCTATAAAGGAGAGACGAAAGATACCAAAGGGACATTCAAACTCATAAGTAGAAAACAATCTGACAACGCCATGGCTAAAAAAAGAAAAAGACAAACAGACAAACAACAGTACACAAAACACAGCATAGAAAACTGAAGACTGAGACGGCGTGCACAAAGTTGAAGGCAACTATAAAAGGCGCTTTTAAAAGTAGTTTTATACAACCGTGTTTAAAATATCTTTTAAATAGGAAGTTTTTTGTTATGATAAAATGATGAATGCTAGCCATTACAATCCACATTACTAATAAGGTTATCAAAATTAAATCTATAAAGTATGAAACGAACATAGAGAAAACGGCAAAAATATGTGAAACTTGTAACATTAAATTAGCATAAAATAGAGTTTTTGACCTAAAATTTATACAAATTCAACATATTTTCCCGCATTTTCGTATAATAGAATTTTCGGATTCGGACTATGACGTCATACGAAATTCACCGCAAAAAATTAAAAAACGGCCATGGTGGATGAGTTTGGAATGTAGTTCGTTATGTGTAAGAAGTAGTAATTTGGAAGGATTAATATTCGAAAATGGAAGAATCGGTAAGAAAAAATATTTCATTGCAAATTTTTTATTTCAAAATAACTTGATGTTCCAAATGTGCATAACAAGAGGTTTAAAAAAATCTGCAAAATGTGAATGATTCGATATAGTCCAGGCTGAACACCTGAATTTTTTTGAATTCCAGCTATTATGTTACAATTTAAAGAAATGACGTTTTAACGCTATTTTCTGAATAGGGTCCACGACATAGTCACTTATTATTTCCATTACACTGCTCTTAGCATATATTTATTTATATTTCCAGAATGTGCATATGCTGCACTTTGTTGTTAAAAAATAAGAAATATGTTGAACGTTTATGTTTAAAGCTTTGTGATAAACTAAAGTGTCCAGTGTTTTTGTTACGCGTTTGTTTTCTGGGGAAAAATGCCGACGTCGTAAATGATTGAAGTAATTTGAAGACGTACAACTACGTTTGTGGACTCAGCTTTATGCATGCCGTCTGAGCAACACGAACCCCACCAAAAACTGGGGGTGATCTCAGGTGCTACGGAAGGGTAAGCAGATGATGATCCTGCTCCACAAGTTGCACCCGTTGTGTTGCTCATGTTAGTACAAACCCGGTAATAAGTCTAATTCGGTATTCACATTCGGGAAAAAGGGGTTGGGATTGTAGTTACGACAATTGGCACATCATCCGCTGTCATCTGTGAAACGGATATTCCACAACGGTCAATCAACTCGTGATGGCGTCCGTAAAATTTACGAAGTGATAACTCAACTTCACCACTATAAAAATCACCAGGGATAGCTTGGCATTAATCTAAGAAAAAGATCTATGTTTTCTCTACGATCTGTTTCTGTTAATAAGCGCCCTAATTACGAAACTGATATGCCCCAGACCTTAACAATCTCCGACTAAACGAAATCTTGCATGGATGTCCATAAACTTATAAATTGCTCAATTTGTACTCAAGACAACTAACGCTGTATCCGATTTTCTATTTTTTTCACCAATTAAGTAAATGCTCATACTAAGACATAAAAAATAGTGAAAAGTCTCAATCACATGTAACCCGCCGCTTTCTTCATAGAAAACGAATAATTTGAAATACGTTTTTTTTGCAGATCGTAGGGATTCCATCGAAGCGTTTTAATTTTCTATGTTATTTATTTATGTATTTAATTTGAAATTGTGTATTTTGTAGAGAAAGAAAAGTATGACCCGAAAATAAACGCTGTATATGGATTTTGCGAGGAAATAAGATTAAGGAAACGATGAATGACTACGATTCTCTAGTGTTCCCCGACATATTTTCCCCTAGAATTTCATTCCCGACGGAATAAACACACTTGTGAGAAGAAGGATTACACTAGAGCATTTCATGCCAGTGCATGTACCGGAAGTTTTACACACCAAAATGAAAGTACGACTACGACCATAAGAATTAGGAAGTGATAAAGGATAATGAATAGATATATATATATACCATAATAAATATTATTAACAGTTATGTTTTTCGTGTGAAGAATCTTAGTATGCTTTTGTCGGAAATCTTAAAAAATTATAGATAAAGGGGATGGTTGAGCACTCACAAATATGTATCTCCACGTGCACATTCGTTATGTGCCGCAAGTCCCTAGTCAGGAGTCTGTAATGCAGTACACGTGGTATTCATTCAGGGGCGGATCCAGGATTTTGGAAAGGGGGGGCGTAGTATTAAAGTTTGCCGAGCGGAGCGAGGCGAAAATTTTCTTTGACCTTTTTTTGGCTAAAAAACATAAAATAAGTGTAAAATGCATTTTATAGTTAAAGTGTAGGGGTTGGACATTTTTGGTGCCGTATTCTCTCCATTAATTGTCTATTATAAAATGATTGGATTGATCCAAAGCTATGTACTAATTAATATTTTTGATGTGGGATTTGTCAGTAAAAAATGGAGATGGAAAATTCTCGTTTGTTGTATGGTTAGTTAGCATAACCTCACAGATTTCTTGTTGTAAACAAGATATACGGCTATTCAATGAAATTTACAATACGACCGACACGAAGAAAGACAAACAAGCAATTTTTATCCAAATGTTTGGTTGAAATGTTTCAACCAACAAGGGAAGTGAGGGGTTCCAAATCGACCAAAGGCTACGAATGAGTCGGAAATGACAATGAAGTTGTGAATGACGGTCGACACATGGAGACATATAGGCCACACCCAGCAGGCAGGTTGCAGTCGGGCCTTGATAAAGGTATTCAGTATATCAGTTCGGCGAAACAGACAACAGACATTCCGGTCAGATATGGGATTCACATGCAACCCCCCCCCCCCCCCCCCCTCAAAAAAAAAATTACGCCCGTTTTTTATTCATCATGTTCATTTAATGCTAAATAATTTAGTTGAAAATATTTTGTTCTAATAGCAAAAAAGTGGACAAGATTATTGTTTTCAATCCAGATACGGCCAGAATTTTTATTTAAGGCAAAAATTAGGGTCAGTATTTTTTCTCTTAAATATCTCAGACTGCCCCCTTAAATCAAATGGTCCGTACCTTAGACTTTAAATCTATATCTAGAGCTTACTGACCGGGGATCACTATTCAGCAATGTTATTAATGGGCTGGGGCGTGTGGGGTTAAACATGTTTTCGTAGGTAAATAATATTGCTGTGGAACTTTTTTTTCATGAGAGTGTAATAGAGTATTACTTTCTGTTGGGTGGAATTGTGAAATAGAAGTCAATACGTTCTTGCTCAATACTTTGTCGCTTTGAAGGCGTCATGCTTGTCATCCTCAGCCTAAGCAATGTGTTACTGTAATTTGAATTTCAAAATGACTGAGTGACGTTTTTTTCGACGTACTGGTCAACTCCACCGTAGCGAATCACATGACTTTGACATAATCAATAATATATTACAGTAAATACGAGCGAAACATATCTTTATAAGTACAGAATTGTCGCATAAAAATTAAATACACGGGAAATGGCAGAGTTCGCGAAGTCTAGTCTGATTAATCATTTTACAAAAAAAAAAAAAAGTGCAAGCAAAAGGGGGGGGGGGCGTACGCCCTCTACGCCCCCCTCTGGATCCGCCACTGTTCATTGGTTGCTGTCTGTCATATTTGTTTTTCGTTTGTTGTTGTTGTTATAAATCAGGCCGTCCGTCCTCTCGTATGAATTGATTTACATTTTGTCATGTCAGGCCTTGCGGTATGGGTTTTACTTAAGAATTGAATGCTTCTTTTTTGTAAATTCATTGGGGTGTAAAAGCGTTGACCGAAGTACATTTTGTATGAAGCGCGGAAGCTTCATTATCCATATCTGCCAAGTTTGATTGACATTGACCTAGCAGTTGCAGATTTTATATTATAAAATGTGATTTTCTATAATACATTTCTAGTCTCTGTGAGAAGTATGTACAAGAAAGGTGGAGTGGGGTATACGGCGTCAATGACACAGGCACTTGTCTCTGATTTTTCCCCCTTATATACCTTAATATAACAATAATAATGTTATATTAAGGTATATGGAATTTTTTTTCAGAGACAAATGCATGTGGTCAATGAGATAGCTACCCAACAAAAAAAAAAACAACACCAAAAGACATCTATGTCAACATTGCATCCAATGAGAACAAAATGAATGCCCACAGCGGCCATGTTTTCAGAATAGTTGGCCTTGTAATCTTAAAGAGGAAATGCTTTGAGAAACAAAAAGTGACGACTGAAACAAGACGGCCCCGATTACTTGATCCTACGGAACACAGTTCCTACCAAATTTGGTAAATATAGGACAAGCACGTATACATGTTCTCGCTGTGTTAAAGACCCATTGGTGACCTTCAGCTGTTTTCTGCTCTTTGTTCGTGTTGTTATCTCTTTTAACACATTCCCCATTTCCATTCTCTATTTTATTGGTAGTTTTACGGAAAAAAAAACGAAAACATGAATGCCAATAGCAATGTATAGGGTTTCAATAGGAACTATGATCAACTATGTACCTTCACTACCGATATATATATATATGCCACCGGGTCGACTTTGTAAACGAGGATTGTTTGTGGCATGTCACTGGCCGAACTACAAATCATGTAAAGCTTCAAACCAATAAAAATATAAAAAATTCTCATGACCGCCACATTTTCATCCTATCATACATACATGACGTTCGTTTTAGGTTCATCTAGAAGCCAGGACTATCTCATCATAGGACATCCGATGGACATTGTATAATTTGCACTGATCACTACACACATACATAAAAGATATATATAATTCTAACGTCTATCTCATTCATACGAAGGCGTCGGATCGTTATGAAAAATGATACTGTTCTCAATGAATAAAAATAAAATATACGTCTAAAAAGTGTACAACACCAAATGAAAAATTATAGATATAAAATTCAATAAATATTTCGGATAACAAATATTCAACAACCTGATGAAAAATGGCACTTGAATTCTTTTGTTTTATTCTTCCTCAGAAATATTGATAGTTATACAAATTACATACCGAACAATGGTTTAAAAAAGTTAGACTTATATAATTCAGAATCTTGGAGTTAACACAAATTAAGTATTTACAAAGACGGGGATTCCACAGTATGTATACATAGCAAATGTAATACCATCTCCAGTTTCCGTGGTTAGCTATGCACGATTTGAACTTCTTTTCATTGATTGCATTTGGTGCCACCGTTTTGAACTTTTTCCCCAAAATATTTTGCGAATGATTCTCTTCTCCCTGTACCAGTCTTTCATGAGTTGTAATAAATATAATGCTTTTAGCTTGGAGTTATGTACTAAATTCTTCACTAATAGTTCCATGAATATTAGTACAGTAGCAACCAATTTATATTATTATTGAGCAACGAAGATCCAGCTTCTGTAAAAGTAAAATTTATTCAGAGTTGTGCATGTTTTCAGTTAAAGACATAAAATAGATAGCTCTATCGTATTATGTGTTTAAGAGTTATCTCTTTTCCAGGGTTTTCCGCTGGTATGATCGTTATTTATATGACTGTACCTATAATTTGGTTCTTCCTCCATGTACTGCCTCATATTTTTCCTTTTTTTATCTGCATGTGAACCAGTTGAGACTTCTGTAATACAGTATGTGTTTGTTTGATTATATTCGATACCAATGATTTGTATCACTATACAAATCCTTGTCAATGCTTATTGTAAAATTCTTATTCTTATTCTTAGTGGTAGTATTTCTATTTATTGGTCACAAGGCTTGTTTATAGGACTCAATGATTTCATATTGATGTAGTTAAAGTTAAAGTTGACCTAAGTTTCATTAAACCTTTTAAATAAAAACAGTGAGTCCCGATGATAAGCCTTAGTGCTATGGATGTTCCGCTCAGTTGGTTTCAAGTCTTGTTCATGGGTATTTGTTTTGTACTGTGTAATATCAATGTACTGGTAACAACTTTTGAACAGTGTTTTTATGTGATAGTTTTGTTCCACTACTAAGTAGTGGTTATTAAACTACTGCAGTACGTATTATATAGAAAAGGTAAGACTATTGCTCCGTACTGTACGAACATTTGAAGTTATACATATACAACTACACGTCCTTGTAAACCCATATATCAGTATTACCGATGTAAACCCATATATCAGTGTTACCGATCCTTTTTGAGTTATCTTTCGTTGACAACCTGACCACAGATTTGAAATGGACATAGATTACATCTTTTTCTGTCTAATTCATTACAGTACGTACAAATGCACATGTACATTTGTAGGTGATGATTATATATTCCTGTGGGCAACAACTGGGGCTCTTTCCACAAGAACTCTTTATAACGATAAAAGTTGATCGTACGTTAGACTCTAATGTTCATGACTTACGAGTATTTTTTTTCTTAAGATTTGTGTGAAACTGATCAGTTTATTTGTCTTAACATATATATGAAAATACATACGCTCACTTATGTGTATCTTTGCAATCAAATAAAAAGAAAATTGAAAAAGTTCAAGAAGGAACATTATCTTACCTCCTATAGATTTATAGGGATATGATTGGTTAAAGGACTACCCGTTGTGACTATGTATATTTGATATAGGGTGTCCTAAAAAATATAGGGTTAGTTACCATACATGGTTAGTTGCCATATGGGGTTAGTAAGGAGTTACTTCCATTTCAAAACAAAAAGATGGGACGACCCTTTATAAAAACCACACGGTGTTGAGGAAAAACCTGAAAGGTTTCAACAGACGGAGAAATTGATGATGAAAGGTTGAAATAAATTAATAAAACATATAATTAAAGCTAACAAGTTGTTATTGTTGGCATTAAGGAGTTACTTCCCTTTCAAAACAAAAAATAAATCTGAAAGGTTTCAACAGACGAAGAAATTGATACATGTAATGAACGATTGAAATAAATTCATAAAACAAATTTAAAGCTAAAAAGTTGTTATTGTGGGCATTTGTTTTCTCTATAGACAAATGGAAGTAGGATCGTAATGCTAAGTATTGAAGACTTTAAAATCACTTTGATAGGTAGCTAG